AGAATATTTTTATCAGATTTTTCTTATCAGAAGGATAATTAATATTAAGCTGTTTCCATCTCGATAGCCGCTTTATACCAACCTGAGTAAAACTGAAGAAGGGCTTCAAACTTTCTTCCACATCTTGAGGCAGCTCCAGAGGTAGAGACAATATTGTCTGACTCCATGCTAAAAATAACGAGATAAAAAATTTCGAAATATCAAGCTCGAATTTGTCTTACCATCTTTTGTAGATTTTGAAACTTCCTGAATAGAGTTGATATGTTTCGAGGACCTATTGGGAGTGTCAAAGAAAAATGGTTTGTTGCTTTTCTGCTTGATGTCCCAAGGGCTAGGAATTATCTGATTCTGTTTAAAAAACCGATCTATAGCTGCCTGGGCTCTTATCTCCAATTCTGGCTCCGGAGAATGCATTTGCTGCATGGGAGATTCTTCGATCTTTACTGGTTTCATGTGAGCCAATTCATCTATATTCCACGCAAACTCTGGTGACCGTTGCATAGGGCTGGAGACCTAAATATTGCAGCAATTTTAGCAATTAGCACTTGCTTCTCAGTAGAAGTATTCTTGTCGATCATAGTATTCTTTAAGGAGCTTCAAGCAAAATGACCTTGGCGAATAAGTTCGGGCTGATTGCGGACAGGTGCAGTCGATTAATCAGATCAGGCTCGAACGGGTTCTTAGTAATGAATTTCCTCAACTTGGATGGGGGTGTAATATGATTCGGCAGAACAGCGAATGGTAGCCGTTGCGCGTTATTCTGATACGTTAGAGTATACTTCAAGTGAGCGTTGTTTCGCTTCATCGGAGTTCCATACCTCCAGGAACTACACGCTAAAGGGCTCTTGCCCTTGCGCTCCTCACTCGACATGCTCCGTTCCGCTTGTTCCATTACAAAACAATTCGCACAAGAGACACAGATTCACTCTGCGTTCTCGCCAATTCGAAATTGGAATTCTCCTCGACTCTTCACAAAATTCTTTACTTAACGACTTCAGATACAAAACTTCGGCCTGCCGGTTTCGATCTGTGCAATTGTTTTACGAAAATACACTTACAGATTACAAATCAGAGCCCTTCGATATTTGTGGATTGGAGTTTTTTTCCAACTTTTGAACAATCAGATTTATTTCAAATTATTTACACCATCGATGTGATACTATTAAAGACCATCAATCTTTTGGCACATTTGAAGTGCGTTCCAAAACTCGACTATCAATTCCACGTATCCTTTAAGGTGCATTTTCAGGGGCTCCGCAAAAGGAACAGGAGGTGCGTTCGGCATTGCAAATTGGAAATGTCCGTTTGCTCTTTTATCTCGAAAATCATTCGACAACTCGCATCTTTCTGCTACGTGTCATCTCATCTGCGTTCGATATTAACATTTCTAGAGTCAATAGAACTGCTCGATCCACTCCGGATTCAAAGACTGAGCTCGCAGAGCCACCGACAAGATACTATTAAAGACCGTCAACCCTGGGTAAATTTTCG